TTTGCAGCCGCTGCATCTCCAGCCGCTGTTCAGCGACATCGGCCTCGGCCTGCGCCAGACGCTCCTTGGTCTTCGCATGCTCGGAAGCTTCTGCCTCCGATGCCTGCATGCGTGTCGCAAACTCTTCGCAGCGCTCCTGGAACTCTGCCGCTGCTGACTCCGCAGCAGCAGCGCGGGCCACAAACTCATTACACGTTTCCGTGCACTTGGCGCTCTCGCTCTGCGCAGTTTGGAGCTCCGCATCCTTACTGGAAACCTGCGCCTCGGCCGCGGCCAGGCGATTGCGTAACTCTCGGCCCTCCTCCTGCGATTTCTGGAGCTCCGCTTCGAGGCGCCGGCGCTCGGCGGTCTCCTCCTCGAGCTTCTGCCGCTTCCGCGCCGTCTCCAGGCTCTCGGCCTCCGCGAGCCTCTCCGCGAGCTCCCGGCAGCGAGCGGGGATGGGGGGCTGCTGCAGGTACCCCGCCGCCCAGCTCTCCCGCTCCGCTGCTGAGCCAAGCGGCTCTCCTCGCAGGAGCCCGGCCTCGGAGAAGCTCCAGCACCACCCGTACTTGCCGTACTCGGCCGCGCCGTGCCGGAGCAGCGCCTCGCTGAGGAGCTCCGGCCTCGTCTCCTTGCCTGCGAGCTCTTTCGCGAAGTGCTCCCGGCACCGCTGGAGCCAGGCCTCGGCCTCCGCCGGCTGCGAGGTCCAGAGCTCCACGAGCCGAGCACTCACCACCTCGGGAGCTCGGCTCGCCGCATAACTTGCATGAGCACGACTTGGATGATAAGCAGCCAGTTGAAGGAAGGCGTCGATGACGGTCGCGAGGGGCCAGCCGGCGGGGACTGCGGTCAGGTGGACGAGATGTTTTGCTTCGGACTGCTGCGGCATGGCGGGGACCTCAGACTAAAACCTTTGAGCTGCGCTTGCCTGCACCGTGTGTCGCTCAGATCTTGGGGCTAAAAGCTTCAAGATATCTGAAACAGTCATCTTAAGACCCGACCCTAACTAAACCCTGAACCCCGCCTCCAACTACTCTATATACTACCATGTAGGTAGTGTCTTGCAAAACCGAAAGAAAGCCCCAATGGCTGTGCAATTCATGAGGGCCGCATTTCACGAGCAGGTTCGGTGATGATATCCTTCTAAGCCACATGGCCCTTCAATGTCAGGGGCCTAAATACCCTGCTACTATGACTTCCTGTTTGGGAACTGTAACCTGCAACCTCTGCAGGCCATGTCGACCTCAAGCCTCTCATAGGCACAAAAATTCCCGAAACCCATGTAAGCCCTTAGAAACCCTAACTTCAACAACCATACCCTAAACCCATGTAAAGCCTTAAAAACCCTAACTTCAAGCCTTGTAAACGCTGGAATCCGTGAGCCACTAAACTTTATAACCCCTGAAACTTAGTTGCTGAGTACATTCACTCTCAGGAAGGCGTTCTGGGCACCCGAGCCGGGAGGTTTCCCACGTGCGCGCCTTTGGGCCGGAAGTCGCCTCGAGGGTTTGGGTTTGTAGGGTTTAGGGTTATAGGGTAAAGGGCTTAGGGTCTAGGGTTATAGGGTATAGGGCTTAGGGTTATAGGGTATAGGGCTTAGGGTTTAGGGTTTAGGGTTGTAGGGTTTAGGTTTGTAGGGCTGTATGTTGAAGGAAACTACAGGTGGGGAGTCTAGGGAATATCGGGCTTCTATAAGGCTTCTATATAGACCTTCTATATAGACCTTCTATAAGGCTCCTGTAACGGTAACTGCCCACCTGAAAATGTCCTACCATATGCCTGCAGCCGAAAGCTTCTTCTCACAGGAAATATATATGAGGGAAATCATAGACTGATAATGATAACTAGAATGACTGACCTGAAAAGGTGAGCTTTTTCGGGCTGGTGGGGTTGGCGGTTTTGGGCTTGGTCGGCTCACGGCTTCAAGCTGCGGGTTTAGCATTTATAAAGGTTGCCGTTGGTGGCTGGAGGGTGTCTAGAGACACGCTGCCTGGAGAAGCATAGCTAGATGGTAACGGCAAGTAATGAACAACGAAAAGTAATGAACAACGAGGCAACTGCTACGATTCGTGTTGAAAGTCTGGCCACAAAAGTCGTAACCTCTGACTGCCCTCAACACCAACCAAAATCATCCTTAGTTGCATACATATATAGTAATACATATGTACATAGACATATAGCCACATACACTATAAACTCTACATCAGCTGACACACCTCGGATCATCTCAAACCGTGTTTGAGCCCGCGCCAGTCGTCGAACACATCGCACAACACGGTGATCCAGAAAGACCCCATAAGAAGGTCCCAGCAACTAAAGGGGGCTTACGGTTGAGAGATAATCGAGAGATTATGAGGGCTCATGTGTTAGCAGTCCTGTGAAGCATCCTACAAGTCATCAAAAGCTCCGGATTTTGAAGACCCCCGGTCGGTAAAAGTAGCATGCAATATGGATCCTACCATGCCGCTAACACATGAGATCTGACCCCGACCTCAGAGTTCATCAATTGTAGGCGGCACGGACATACTCGGAAAGCTCTGTAATCTGTGATGTAGATTGTTCTCTCTATAGGTTTGCAAGGCCACCAGTCCTGCCATACATACGAGTGGAAGACATATTAATGTAGGGCTACTTGGTCGGTTTTCGATTACATGCTTTGAGGTTGGTGATTCTGAACAAACCGATCTGGTCACCAAGACTCGTGCGTTCAAACACGTGGTGGCGTACCCTAGCAACGCAAGAACAAGCCCTTGGCTGCCTGCTCCTAATCATGACGCGTAGCTCGAACTCCACAGACGCCCCACAAAAGACCCTCTGGTACCCTTTCAGTGTGAGCCGCCTCCAACCGCTATAACTGCCCGGACGTACCATATGGGTTCAGATGCTAAATATAAATATAAATAAATACGTAGATACAGATATATATACCTGGAAACTCCTTACGCCTTTT